TCATGTAATGACTAGGATTAATCTCAAGAATATTATGTTGAGCAAAACAAATTTAATCTCAAATGTTTACAAGGTATATAATTATTCATATAAAACATTCTTGAAAGACATATCTATAGTCATAGAGGACAAATAAGTTCTTGATAGGAATAGAAGCATAGTATAACTATAAAGATTTCTAGTGGAAAGTTTTATTGGGGGTGATGAAACTATTCTGTATCTTGGTAGTTACAAAAGCTTATATTTACAAAAAAGAATCTTCAGAGAGCTGAACCTGAAGAAAAAGAAAAGTATCTAGATAAATAACCGCTAAATCCAAACAGCATCTGTATCTTACTGTTGTATTAATCAATTTCCTGGTTTGAATACTTGTACTATGGTATGTTAGATCCTGACATTCATTAGTGAACGATGATGATTGAAAGGCACATGGTAATTTTCTTTATGATTCTTTCAACTGCTAAGTTAGACTAAAATGATTTCAAACGAAAAAAGTTTTTCAAAAAGAGTCTTTAGAAATCTGTGAGTGTTGCAAAGACCATCCAAGCTTCCCTTAGAACGTTGTCCAAGTTTCACAATGTGAATAGCCTGTGCAATGGTTTGAAGGTAAGAAAGAGTGGGCTGGCTTCCCAATGGTAACACTATTCAGTCTGCCCAGTTCACAGTGTGAGGTCCCTATGATAGGAGAGGAGGCTTGCACTGATTGATAATAGGACTTGTCAACTGTGTGAAAAACTTTGGGGATTTTCCCACAGGTCTTTGGAAGCATTCCAGAAGGAAAGAGATGATAACATTTGAATTCTATAAGGTTTGTTCTGACTACAGTGTGGAGAAAGATTAGAAGAGAGTCCTAATGGTGAAAAGCTGACCTACATTGAGAATTGATTGAATATGAAGTGATGAACAAGAAGATGTTTTCATTTAAATACAATTTAAATACAAGTTTCATTTAAATACAAGTTTATTTATTTTCATTTAAATACAAGTTTCCAATTTAAATACATAAGCACCATACAATTAAAATAAAAACCAAGACAAAGTTATGGGAAGCCACTCCTGAGCTATTTAGCATCTTCTTGGGACTTGAGCAAAGGAGATTTTGGTTTGGCATTGCAAGTCATTTTATGGCTCCTCCCACTTAATGGATTACACAATGCTGTGACCTCAGTCTTTGCTGGGCTAGGAAATCTGCTCTCCTAGCTCTGGAATTGGGTGTAACCCCTTGGGCCTGGACAGCTCACCTCCTACCTTATTTGGCAAAAAAACATTCTATTGAAAAATCTTTGATGTCCCCCCTATAGGAATAAACCAAACGTGGGCTCTCACTTTCTCTTTTTACAGTGTTGAAGCTCAACCCCTAAAGTTGTAGAGCCGTCCTGCCCTCACCTTTCAAAATTACTTTCGATGTTGTGTCTTGTGGTGTTTTTTCACCACCCTTTTTTCCCCCTTAGCTTTATTTCGCAGCCAGTCACTCCAAGCAGAGGAAGTCTGTTTCCACCACTTTTGTGGGACATGGGTGGGAAAAATGATGAGAAAATCTGGGAAGAGGATGGGTATCTTGTAGATAAATGAGCATGTTCCAGTAATCGACTGGGATAGTGTAGAAGAGATGGAACAATATATATTATGAAGCATAATTCACTCAATTCTGAACTAAATTTCTTCTAGCTCTTCTTCTGGGTTAGTTAGTTTCCTATTACTATAACAAAATCCCTGAAAAAAAATCAACATATGAAAAAAGGAAAGGTTTATTGTGGTTCACAGTTTTGAAGTCTATGGCTGCTTGGTCCAGTTGCTTTTGTGCTTGCTTCTGTACTTGTAGTGAGGCAAAGCATCATGGTGGAAGATTATGGTAGAGAAAGTATGTTCACCCCATGGCCAGGGATGAGAGAGAGAAAGAACTCAGTACTGCACAATCCCATTTAGGGGCAAGCATTCAGTGACCCAAAACCTCCCATTGGGCCCCACCTCTTAAAGTTTCCACAACTTTCCTAAAGTGCTGTGGCCTGAGCACCAAGCCTTTAAAACA